ATATTACATACACCACTACATACATATACATAAATAAGAATTTCCTACCCAAACAATCAGCAAAAAGAAGAGAAAAAGAAAAAGAAATAAAAAGATTACAATTATTCAAACCGTAGCTTAAATGAATACCTATTAAAGGTTTTCATATTTTGTCAGCAAATCAAATTTAACCATCCTTCCAAATAACTTAATAGAACCAGCATTTTTATAATTTTCTTTGATTTGTCRCATAATTTATGCAAAAACAGACTCCAGGTATCATAGTTGTTGCTGAAGTAAACAAAGAGTCCTAAAAAATAAAGCARGTAGATGCTGAACGCCACCTTTGAGAATATTTCTTCAAATAAAAGTAGATTCTCTTGATGAAATTCATATTGTCTTTTGGGTTGAAGACGATCTTTTTCAACAGATTTATAAAATTTACAATAAATCTGGTAATGCGATAAAGCCCCCAGTAATTGTGATATTAGTTACCACTYGTCTCACCGAAGTTAAAAACGTTCTGATAAATCTTACCCTCACCTGTTTGTCTTTTCTCAACAGAAACCCGTCTTCGTGTTTTAAATGTAACGTTCTGTCCTTTTCAGGCGTCATAGCCGTCGTCATCTTTGTGATGGTGACCGTCCTGGCCGTAACCGCCAGAATCCTCTACAGGAGAAAAGAGACGTATCAAAACCAAGCCGTGAAGGGCGTCAAACAGGAAGACAGCCAGGACTTCCCTTACAACAACCAGGCCGACCCACAGAGCGTCTCCGGTGAAAACCCTAAAGATTTTTTCATGTAACCGGAGGCTCCGTTTGCACCCCGATGAGCTGCTCTTTTTTTGTTTTTGTTTTTTTTCTGAGGCGGCTGCAGACAGGAAGCATCCTGCGATGCCTYGGGACTATTTCACACTGCACTACGAGCCATTAACACACTCTGACGGATGCGATATTCTAGAACTAAAAGAAGGAACAGTTTTGTCTTTTATTATATATTGTGTATAAAGCTGATGTAAACCAACAGCARAGCTGGAGCAGAAAGTTGTTCCAACAAATGTAATTATTAAAAAAAACTACATGTTTGAAGTAATAACACTCTGTCCTTGTGAAAAGATTGTTTTATGGATTGTTTAACTTAATTTCTTTATTCTGGCGTGTTCGGGATTTGACTGAAAGCACTTTTCTGTGGGGAATGAATGAATGTTTGTTTTAATTTGACGGGAAATGTTTTATTCAGACCCTCAAGTGGAGCACGTCTGTAAGGAGCTGCTGTTTGCTTTAGACGAACAAATGTTGAGAGAATTAAACTCTAGAACGTTTCTTAAAACTCCTCTTCACACTGGATGATAATCTTCCCACAACTCAGCCAGAACGTGGGTGGTCTTTGAAGGGTCTTGACGAGGTCCTCAGGTGTGTACTAAAACCCAGTGGGTTCTTAATGAAGGACAGGTCATTTGGTCATAGTCACAGTCTAGATTTTGGTTGTGATCATGGTCTAGGTCATAGTCATGGTAGTTGTAGTCATGGTCGTGGTCATGGTCACAGCCTAGGTTGTGGATGTGGTCATAGCCTATGTAATGGTTGTGGCTGTGATCATGGTCCAGGTAATAGTCTTGGTCACGGTCTAGGTTGTGGTTGCAGTCATAGTTGTAGTAGTTGTGGTCGCCGTCTAGGTAATGGTTGTGGTCTAGGTCATAGTCGCAGTCTAGATCACAGTCTTCATCGTAGTGGTCACAGTCTAGGTTGTGGTCTATGATTGCAGTCTAGGTTGTGATCTATGGTTGCGGTCTAGGTTGTGATTGTGGTCAAGATTGTGGTTGCGGTCTAGGTTGCAATCTTGGTCGAGGTGGTAGTGGTCTAGGTTGTGGTCTGTGGTTGCAGTCTAGGTTGTGGTTGCGGTCTAGGTTGCAGTCTTGATGGTTGCGGTCTAGGTTGTGGTTGTGGTCCAGGTCGCACTCTTGGTGGTTGCAGTCTAGGTTGTATTTGTGTGGTCCAGGTCACAGTCTTGGTTGCGGTGGTCGCAGTCTAGGTTATGGTGGTCTTAGTCGTGGTCTAGGTCATGGTCACAGTTTAGGTTGTGATGGTGGTCTAGGTCATGGTTGTGGTCTAGGTCGCAGTCTTGGTGGTTGCGGTCTAGGTTGTGGTTGTGGTCCAGGTCGCAGTCTTGGTTACTGTGGTCATAGTCTAGGTTATGGTTGTCTTAGTTGTGGTCTAGGTCGTGGTTGCAGTCTAGGTCACGGTCTAGGTCGCAGTCTTGGTCAAGGTGGTAGTGGTCTAGGTTGTGGTCTGTGGTTGCAGTCTTGGTTGTGGTTGCAGTCTAGGTCACAGTCTTGGTTGTGGTGGTCGCGGTATAGGTTGTGGTGGTCTTAGTCGTGGTGTAGGTCATGGTCACGGTTTAGGTTGTGATCATGGTCTAGGTTGCAGTGATCGGGTTCTTGATGGAACGAGGTGTCACTCGGTCRCTGAGAATCTGAAGCAAGACTGGTAATGCTGGCTAGCCCCCTACGCCGAGGCTGCGGCCACAATTGCATCAAAATCATGAAATTTTCATTCTGCAGAYGTAAAGCTCGTGGCGGTAGCATCATGTWAACATTCTACCGTRTAGCAAAGAGCWCCCATGCATGTGACAAAATACGTCTCTTGGGACAGGTTGGTAACACCAGTGACAAATTCTAGATAGGTTTGAATTAAATGCTGTGACTTTGTTGTTGCTCAAATTAATTGATTCAAGYGATAAGTTTGTGAATCTCTGCAAATGAAACGAGGAAAGCGAGAACCTTGTGATTGTCCCGAAACATTCCAAAGCCTCTATGGACGCTGTTCTCTACCTTGTCACAGATACCACCATAAGATACCACCAACACCAACCTGCRATGTGTTTAAGCTATCTTAATGGGATTTTGGAAAAAAATCAAGGCTTTATGTGTGGATTTCACYCCTCGTTTGGTTCAAGGTCCATTAATGAAAGCTCACATTGTCCTGAGTTGATGGTTGTTTGATYGGTGATTTAGGAACCACCAGGTAAAGCTTAAAGAGGACCATAACGGTACCACGACCAATCCAATTCTTTACAAATAAGTGTATTCATATTTAAGATCCACAAATTCCATATCAAGTTTGGTGCAAAAAGTCCTGAGTGACGCCTTTAAACCAAATCTTCAATGCTTAGAAACTTCCTAAAAGTGACATTTCTTGTATTTTAATACAAATAAAGTCAGATCAAAAGCAGGAAGCCTCAAGGAGTAAGAGGTTTTTCAAAATATGCATTATTAGGACACATTCAGCCCAGAAAATGTCTATAAAATACCAAGACATTTGATGTTTTTCTAACTTAAATAAGAAYATGAATTAAACATTTTCATCCAGCGTCATTTTTTTTATTATATTCTGTCAAGAGGCATCTTCAAAGTCTTGTTCTCTCTAATCATGCAAATGAGAACGTTTGTTCTGCGGGTACTCCTCTGTCCTTCAGCTTTTTGTTAAACATTTTTGTTATATTTCCATTCTGAAGGTTTTTTCTGTAGCTTTGCAAGCTTTTTCAGGAAAAGCATGTACAGGTTTCTCGCTTTGCTCACGTTTTCTCCTTCCTGATTCCCTTAAAGCTCTTCTAACGGCTCTTCTTAACACTGACAGCTAAATGCACGCAGAGGCAGTTAACGTGCTTTCGAATYGCTAATCTGCTTTGATCTGACAGGTGGCTTGTGGTTCGGTGGCAAAGCAGGAAGAGACGCAAACTAGACGGGAAGATTAAAAACCTGGAAGACTTTGTCAAAGCAGTCGTAGGTGTGATGAGAAGACGTTACGACATTAGGGGTAAAAACGTCTCAGCACGTTAATCCCAAGAGCTGTAAGACTCCAAAAACAGCTTTCAATGACAAAAACGTGTAAATCTTCAAAGCGTATTGTTTAACTCTGGCCTCGCCACAGCCTAGAMCGTGAATTTTTTTGTCATTGCAGAAGATTTCAGAGTCAGATCTTTGGTGAAGAGGGACACTGACCTTCTTCTTCCTCCATCTCCTCACAAGTGCAGCAGCTGATTGCAAAGAGGAACTCAGCAGGTCACCTGACAGCCAGGAAATCATAAAAACTAATGAAGAGGAAGCTTCAAAAGGTATACATGAAATTTAAGGTTAGCAGACCTGACTGTTGTTTTCTCAAACCGTTTTCAGGCAAAAGCTGAACATTTAAACAAGCCTATTTTCCTTTGTATCCTTCATATTTAGTCCACAAAGAAAAATTTGTCTGGCCCACACAAGACACAAACTCTTCCCAGATACCGCAAAGAATGACGGCCCTTTGGTGGCCCATATGAGGATTGCCAGAGGGGATCCATGCATGGGCCAGCACCTCATGAAACAGACCACAACTAGGGTCAGGTATTGAAAGGGTTTATTTCGATACCGGTGCTAAATCGATACTTTCAAAACGGTACCAGTTCCTAAGCGGTATTTAAATCGGTAC